GTGCCTGCACTCTCAAAGAAGCTATGTTTCGCATGACATCCAATTCAATAATAGTGATTATAAATAAATATAAATATATATATATACATGAAAATATAGATATATATGAATATATATATATATATTATATTCAAATATAAACATGAATATATGTAAAAACATGAATGTGTATATTTATATATATATATATATTTCCAAATGTACGCATTCAGTGCATAAATATATATATATATAAATACATGCATTCACAATGCAGGCCGCAGCGACGCGACTCGTTTCAGCGCCCGTGCCAAAACATATGTATGAATAAAACATATCAACATAGAATCATATATAAATATATATTTGAATAAAATACAAATTTGTGAATATAAATTAAACATAAAAAAAGAATATAATATGTATATACATACAACTATAATATAACTATAATACATGTACGTAGATGAAAACTAATGTATTTTTTGACAAAAATACAGATAAATATATATATATATATATATATATGTGTGAAAATAACATCAATATATGTTTAAAAAACTTTTATTTATATGTGTATATATATAAACGGATAGAACAATCATATATATATATAATTATTGATATGATTCGATACATACATACATACATACATACATACATATATATATATACATAAAACAAAATTATATAGAGAGAAAGAAAGAAATGCATAAGAACAGAGTGTGAATATATGAATATTTTTGAAACATATATACATATGTGAATATTTAAAAAATGAACATACCATAAATATCCATACATATATGAATATATGATAAATGCTTGTTGGGTTATTCGCATCCAAGAACTTCCCTTTGGTTGGATTCCCCAAGTTCCACAGTCATGGCCTTGATCACCATATCCAGCACCATATCCAGCCCCATGTCCAGCACCATATCCAGCACCATGTCCAGCGCCATATCTGCCAGAGCCAGCGTCGAGACCAGCCGAGGAACCTGGGGCATCCAAGTGTGAAAAACCAATCGCATGGGCTCTATGTACATGATATGTGATGACTTAAGTTGTGTGCAAGTTATTACTTAATAGAGTAATCATATCACTAAATCACGTATATATCTGGTAACCCACAATACAATCTGCGTATGTGTCATTCGGGGTGGGGCTTGGGTGGGGTGGGGTGGGACAAGAACATTAATGCCAACTTGAACATGCATGGAACGCAATACCATGCATTGGGGCTGGCGATCGGGTGGGGCCATAACGTTCATGTCAACTTGAACGCGCTCTGGGTTCTTTTCTTAAACCGTACGCTCTGTTGCACTTGCACAAACACATGCACACACACACACGTCATGCTACGCTCTGGGGGTCTTCTGGTGCACTTGCACACACATGTCATGCTACGCTCTGGGGATCTTCTCTTGCAACTGCGCGCACTTGAAAGAACATATGTCGTATGGAGTCCTGATTGGTCCACCGAGTTTGTTTGTCTTTCTTGTCAATTCTATATAATTCTATGACATCTGGAAGTGAAATTCCAGACAGGCCTTGCTCCGCGTGACTGAGTCACAGATTGAAAAGTGAAATGTCCTATAGCACAAACATCTGGATGAGAAACACCGCGGGAGAATAGCATGAGCAACAGTTACACAAATTGATTGGAGTTCTCGGCTTAGCCCCGGGCCATCACGGAGAACCGCAATCGGGAAACACCGCAGGAGAACAGCTTGAGCAACAGGTAAAAAAAATGATTGGGGTTCTTGGCTTAGCCCGTTGCCATAACAGAAAACCGGGTTCGAAGACTACAAGTACAGACCTAAAACATCTTGAAACAGTCAAACAGAACAACAGGTAATCACAACTGCGCAGGTACGTAGATCAAGCGTCCTCGATCTATATCCTTGCCACATGTCACTCAGCCTCGTTGGCAGAGGAACTGACATGGCAACCTCTGCCCCCTGCTACTTCGGAAAATATCAGAAAGAACCAAGTAACCCTTACACACACTTGAAAAGAACTGGATGGATCATCAGAGTGATCCCATGGGAACTGAATCCCTATAACGAACAATCCAACAAGACTATCGAGGCCAGGCCGACCGCGGAGGAATAAAATAAAATACTCCGGAACGAAAACTGATCATCTTGACGACGACAAAATCAAGTTCCAATAGAAAGAAACAAACAGTTTAGATTCCATGTGCCACCAAATATCTCGACGAGGACAATGTTAAAGTACCCATAACAGAATAATGATATGTCCAAATACCATGTAAACATTGGTTGAAATGATGCCGAGGAAAAATCAGATTGCGACAGCCGTACAAACTCTGCTCAGGGGTTCTCGGCTTAGCCCCGTGTCATGTCAGCGACAATGAAATAATCGGACCAGCTGGCCAAGCTGGATATCCCATTTCACTGGTAGCTTCCTTGGACACAGTGCCGGTCAAATGCTGTGTCCCCCAGCATGCAAATCAGTGGAAAAGAAGTTTTACATTTTACATCTATTCAGATGTTGCACACACACTAGACAAGAACTGGATCATTGAAGTGATCCGATGGGAACTGAATCCCGTAAACGTGGAACCAAACAAGATGACTGATAAAAGGTAGACCTCCATGTAGCTGTAAACAACGGCCCTTAAGATGAAGTTCCAATAATTGAGATCGTGAACAGAAACTTGTGACCACAAAGTTCCAAATATATAATGTCAACGAACCGAAACTTGACGACAAAGCCCCCGAATAAATAAATAAGCTGTCCAGATAGGGTTCTCCGCTTAGCCCTGCGCCATGTCCATAAAAAAAAAAACATATAAACGAAGTTTGAAATGACGTCAAAGGAGATCTCAGATTGCAACAACCGTGTAGAAACGAAAATGATGTTGGGGTTCTTGGCTTCGCCCCTTGCCACAAAGACGGAAAACAAGGCAGGTACATGCTGATCAGACCACTCATCCACCGAAATGCCATAGCTTCGTTGGACTGGATAGGCAAATCGGCTCCAGTCCCCATGCGTCTGACTGACAATACAAAAGGTAGAAGTTTTACATCTGCTCAGATGTTCCACACACTTGCTCAGAACAATCATTGCGAATTCTGATGTGGAATGCATCTCACGTGCAAAAACATTCCAGTTATACCATGACAGGAATGGGTCGATGAAAATACCCGAGAAAGTATCAAAAAGTTACCATCGCCGTAGACAGAGCTAGATGAAATGAGTTGGAAGGTGACCCTTCCCTTTCAACAAAGCCAAATCGTTCCCACCGTGACAGATTGCGAAAACCGTGCAAACGAGAAAGTTGAAAACAAGTCGTTTGGAAATGAAAATTGAAGCAGGTACGTCAAAGGGACGTCTCCCTTTGATATCACTGTGACTTCTGGCCGTCTTCGTTGGCACAGGAACCAGAGTCACACGTGCCCCCTGCTTGATACAGAGTGCATTTACCGAAAACCTAAAAGACATCAGTTAGAAGTTCTACATCTGTTCAGATGTTCCACACACACACACGTCATGCTACGCTCTGGGGATCTTCTCTTGCACTTACGCACACGCACACACGTCATACTAAGTCATGCTACACTTTCCGAGCTTTCCCTTTGGTGTGACCTTTCTTTCTGGCTTGTGCCGGGTCTTCTCTAGTGTTGCTCTAAGTCTTTTGATTTCCACAGCTGGCTTCGAAGTGCAGCTTTCCAATTGATGCCCAGCTTTGCAAATCAACTAAAGCAGAAACCGACACGGGTTTCTATATACATGAAGCCTAAAGTATATGTGCTTATGTTATCTAACAAGTGTTATCATGTATAAGTTTACTGCTATATAAACTATTGCTATCATAGTCATTCTCATCTAGGGCCACTCAGTGCCAGGGGATACACCTCAAAAAGGTCACCTATTTTTTTTTGCAGGATCTTGCAACGCAGTGCATTGTATGTATTTCATACATATACATACACATACTGATGTGTGTATACGAACATAAATAATCATAATCATGTGTATATATATATATATATATACACATAGTGTTTGCTTATACCAAAAAATATGGATATTGTATGCTTATAGGATATTAAACAAGATATTTTCAAGATATCTGTTAACATATAGATCATACAGTTCATGGCCAAACAAAACAAAAAAAACGAGGTTGTTCCCCCACCTGCAGGCATCTCAATCTCCTGGTCAGCTGAGCCAGCCTCCATCCTTGAGGTTGGAATCAGTTGGAATGGTAGTAATCACCATGGCAATGGTAGTAATCACGGATTTAAAAAAAAACAGGTGAATTTGGTTTTACTCTATCTCTGAATCCTCCATCCTTGCAATAATATTTTTTTTGTTTTTACATATGTTTACAATGTTTTAGAATCTCCGTCCCTAGTTGCTTGGAATGTGGTAAAATCCAGTTCAAACATGCTGATAGTTAAATTGTGCTGTTCTTTTTGGGGTGTACTGTACTGTACTTTCATTATTTCACAAACAACCTAATATATACGAGTATATAATGTTGAATTTATTTACCACCAATAAACATGAATAGGATTACTGCAATATTGATTGCATTTGAGTTATATGTGGATTCTGAAATCCAGCTGCACTGTAAAGACAACTTTTGGGGGCAAGAGGATGAAGGCTGATTCGTTGTGCCAGAAGGAAGAGCACGAAACACTACGAAGTGAAAGTGGGGTTTCACCTATGAATCCCCATAGAATCCACCCAATCAGACTATGAAACCATACTTCTTGGGTCTTCTATTTGAGGACTACACATGAAACTCATTGCCAAGGTCCCTCATCAAGATTGCTAGGCTTTCATAGGGATTCCCGGTTCATGGATTATGATCGCCTCCTATATCTATTTGATAATGTAGCCAGCAACCAACATAACCAACTGTCATGTATTAATGATATCCCCGTATGATTTTACGCTTACAATCCTACAACTGATTGTTGAATCCGCATTTTTCAGGTATTGGTTTCAATGAACATCCACATCTATGGAAGATCATCCCCATTAAAAGTCCCAGGCCATTCCAGTGCTGGATCGTTTCATCGGCGCCATGGAACGACATACCCATGGAATTCACTAAGCTGACGTGTTAGACGATAGCACCGTATACATCATATGAATATATATATATATAATATTGAACATAACTAGTGCATGTATAAACAAGTATCACTGTATGAACCATCATTCCAGTGACGTCTACATTCTCCAGACATAGGTTGATGGTTAAATTCATGTTAAGTCACCATTTTTTCACAGCGGAATCCCGCGTGTTTTGGACCCAAGCATCAGCTCTCCCTTCCGGTGCCCAGCTCGCGCTGCCAGGAAAGACATGGCCTGGGACTGGGCACGTGGCTTTGGTACCTGAAACTTTTTTGGTCAATCCAAATTTGATGTAATGTGAATCCCCCAAGATAGCTAAGTTGGTTTATAACTACACTACAGTAACTCGGGTATATTGCGGAGACACCTCTGTTAGATGGGATTATAAACCCACTTATAACTAGGGGGCCCACTATGGAAGTATTTACACATATTTTATTAAAAGCTATCTATCCCCATACTTGAACAACCACATAGACTTGATGGTTTATCATCATGTTACCCATTACTTGATGGCCATATGAGGGCTATTGGCTATCCCAATTTTTGATCGTTGCACACAGAGCCAATGTGGGATTTCCGCCTAATTGAATACCACCCTACTGACCGTGACTCCAATACATAGATGAATAGATGCAATACTAAACCAGAGGGTCTAGGCCCTAGTATTTAATATCAAACGGATGGGATTATGTTGGATATTAGAACTATCGGATCTAGTATACAATCTAAGTCCAACAAAAACAAAAGATCAAATGGGGTAGCTGCCATCCACCTGTAGCCATGACGAACAGTGTCTGGCGGTACAAGTGCATTTGCTAATGTCTAGAGTCTAGACCATCAGTGTCTCTAGATAGTGTCAATATGTGTCAACTGGAATTTATCCTCACACCTTATTAAATGACATCTTGCCCAGTTGTGCCATTCGAGGGGTCATGTGTCCGTGACTAAAAATTATTCCAGATTGAAACTATATAACTTATTGGGCTGCCATTGACAGGGTGCAAAATGAACTTGGTTTATGAGGCTTCCGGGATTCAACCTGGTACTAAACCCCACTAGCAAGACATTGACCTTGACTGAAGGCGTGGACCGTTGAATATCCCACAACCTGCTGAGAGTCCCTGCATTTGCTCTCCTTTTCATTGCCGGCAGACCTCAGATTTAACGAGGATGACATTTGGGGATCGGTCAACGTTGGGACCATCAAACTTCATCTGGTTATTGGTTGAGCCACCATGCTCAAGAGGAGAATCATTGTTTTTTTTTGCCAGGTATCCCGTCGCAAACATTTGCAATTCAACAAGGTTCTGCGCTTGGCATGATCTCATGCTATCCTTTGCGTTGCCTTTAGAATGTTACCATTTTAAAAAGGGTCCCCATGTCTGTGTGGTTTATTCAGTTGTGCGTGAGTTCGTTTGACCTGAACAACCAATGCTGTCTAGGGCGTCCAATTCGACGTTTGCCAATCTTGATGGGTTCAGCAGTCTTTTTGTCACTTGGGGATCAGCAAGCGCCCAGCAATCTGGATCCATTCAAACAAGATGCATGGTGCGATGTCCTGATGCAGCAAAAAATCCCAAACCAGATCTATGGCCATGGTCGGTGTGTTTTGGAAAACTTAAAGTAAGGTCCTTGAAATAGTTTGACTGACGATCTCTGTAGACACTACGAAAAAAGGCAAACTGTCACATATTACATACCCCAAGTTCTTAGGTGAAACCGTGGTTTCCCATATCTGTTGATAAACAACATGAAGCACATGTTGTATTATTACATACACAACTATATACGACATATATATATATATACCAGTTTCAAAAATAGGAAACCTACAGGAGAGGTTGGTTGTTGTGACTCACGGAAGGCAGAGCCAATCCATTGATGGACCGACAGGTGGTTGGAGTTGTGTTTTTGGAGTGGTTGCAATGTTTGCAGTGGTCACCTCACCACAAATGCTGGATGTAGTGTGGTGTAGTGCAGCTGTAGTTGTAGTCGTAGTTGTAGTGTAGTGTAGTGGAGTTGTAGTTGTAATGCCGTGTAATTAATGTAGTGTAGTTGTAGTTGCAGTTGCAGTTGTAGTTATGGTGTGGTGTAATTAGTATAGCGTATTGTAGTGTACTGTAGTGTTGTGTACTGTAGTTTGGTATAGTGTAGTGTAGTCTAGTGAAGCGTAAGGTAGCGTGGTTGTAGTTGTAGTGTAGTGTAGTGCAATTAGTGTAGTGTCGTGTAGTGCAATTTAGTGGTAGTTGCAGTTGTTGTTGTAGTTGCTGTGTAATGTAATTAGTGTAGCGTAGCGTTGTGCAATTTAATGTAGTTGTAGTCGCATGTGCATTTGTAGCTGCAGTGTGCTGCAGTGTAATTAGCGCAGTGTAGTGTAATGTGGTGTAGTTGTAATTGTAGTTGTAGCTGTGGTAGTAGTAGTAGTAGTAGTAGTAGTAGTAGTAGTAGTAGTAGTAGTAGTAGTAGTAGTAGTAGTAGTTGGTGTAGTGTAATTAGTGTAGTGTAGTGAAATTAGATGTAATTAGTGTAGTTTAGTAATTTAGTTAGATGTAATCAGTGTAGTGTAGTGTAGTTACTGTAGTGTAATGTAGCATAGTTTGTTTAGTTTATTTGAATTGTAGTAGTAGTAGTGTAGTTGTAGTTGTGTATCTATCTATCTACATATCTAACTAACTAAACTAAACTAAACTAAACTAAGCTAAACTAAACAAAACTAACAAACTAACTAACTAAATCACGAACTAACTAACTAACTAACTGACTGACTAACTAAACTAACTAACTAAACTAACTAACTAACTAGCTAACTAGCTAACTAGCTAACTAGCTAACTAGCTAACTAGCTAACTAGCTAACTAGCTAACTAGCTAACTAGCTAACTAGCTAACTAGCTAACTAGCTAGCTAACCAACCAACCAACTAACTAACTAACGAATTCACAAACAAACAAACAAACAAACAAACTAACTAACCAACTAACCAACTAACAACTAACAACTAACTAATTAACTAACTAACTAACTAACTAACTAACTAACTAACTAAACTAACTAAACTAACTAAACTAACTAAACTAACTAACTAACTAACTAACTAACTAACTAACTAACTAACTAACTAACTAGCTAACTAGCTAACTAGCTAACTAGCTAACTAGCTAACTAGCTAACTAGCTAACTAGCTAACTAGCTAACTAGCTAACTAGCTAACTAACTAACTAACTAACTAACTAACTAACTAACTAACTAACTAACTAACTAACTAACTAACTAACTAACTAACTAACTAACTAACTAACTAACTAACTAACTAACTAACTAACTAACTAACTAACTAACTAACTAACTAACTAACTAACGAACTAACTAACTAACTAACTAACTAACTAACTAACTAACTAACTAAACTAACCAACCAACCAACTAACCTATCTACCTATTTATCTATCTATCTACCTATCTATCTATATATTCTATCGATCTATCGATCTGACGATCTATTGATCGATCTATCGATCTATCGATCTATCGATCTATCGACCTATCGATCTATCGATCTATCGATCTATCGATCTATCGATCTACCGAACTATCAATCTATCTATCTAACTATCTATCTATCTATGTAGTTGTAGTTGTCGTTGCCGTTGTCGTTGTAGTTGTAAGTTGTTGTAGTTGTCTGTCTATCTACCTAATCTATCTATCTATCTACCTACCTACCTATCTGTCTGTCTGTCTGTCTGTCTGCAAGCTTGAAAACGGAGCTATTTTTGCGACACTTTCTCAATTTTTGAACTTGACACCATCCAAAACGAAACAATTCTGCGAGACTTCCTCAATTTTGGAACTTGACACCATCCAAAACGAAACAATTTTTTGAGACTTCTTCATTTTTCGAAGTTGACAACATCAAAAACAAAGCAATTCTGCGAGACTTCGAATATGGAAAGTTGAGTGCAGAGCTGACGGCCTCGTACCAATGCGTTTTGCGATTTTTCCACTCCACCTGTCTAAAGTACTGCGCCTGCCACGAAAAAGTGATGCGAGGTCATACGAAGTGCTGCACCTGTCACGCAAAATCATCTCAGCAAACCTGAAGATCTGATGCTCCAAAATGCAACCCCTCTCAGCAAATCAGCGCCCTCACCTCCTAACAGCTCTTCCATTTTTGAAGGAGGTCTCGCGGAATTGCTTCGTTTTTGATGTTGTCAACTTCGAAAAATGAGGAAGTGTCGCAGAATTGCTTCGTTTCTGACGTTGTCAAGTTCAAAAATTGAAGATGTCTCGCAGAATTGCTTCGTTTTTGACGTTGCCAACTTCAAACATTGAGGAAGTCTCGCAGAATTGCTGCGTTTTTGATGTTGTCAAGTTTTCAAAACCTGAGGGCGTCTCGCAGAATAGCTTCATTTTCAAGCTTGCAGATAGATAGATAGATAGATAGATAGATAGATAGATAGATAGTAGATAGATAGATAGATAGATAGATAGATAGATAGATAGATAGATAGATAGATAGATAGATAGATAGATAGATAGATAGATAGATAGATAGATAGATAGATAGTAGATAGATAGATAGATAGATAGATAGATAGATAGATAGATAGACAGACAGATAGATAGATAGATAGATAGATCCGATAGATAGATAGATAGATAGATAGAAAGATAGATAGGTAGATAGATAGATAGATAGGTAGATAGGTCGATAGGTAGATAGATCGGTGGATAGATAGATAGCTTGATGGATAGGTAGATAGAAAGATACATAGTTAGATAGACAGATGAGATAGATACATAGGTAGATAGATAGCTAGCTAGATAGATAGATAGATGGATAGAAAGATAGGTGGATGGATGGATGGATGGATGGATGGATGGATGGATAGATAGATAGATAGATAGATAGATAGATAGATAGATAGATAGGTAGGTAGGTAGATAGATAGTTAGATAGATAGATAGATAGATAGTTAGTTGGATAGACAGATGAGAGAGAGAGAGAGGTATGTATATATATATATAGAAAGAAAGAAAGATAGATAGATAGATCGATCGATAGATCGGTAGGTAGGTAGGTAGGTAGGTAGACGATCAGAGAAAGAGAGAGAAAGAGAGAGAAAGAGAGGAGGCCTCAACCACCTTTCGGTCCATCAGTGGATTCGCTCTGCCATTCGTGATTCACAACAACCAACCTCTCCTATAGGTTTTCTATTTTTGAAACTTCCGCCACCGCCTTGTGCGGTACTACTGGTAATTTTTAATACAGGTGTTTGACAGTCAGCTTCTGACACATTTTCGCACAACATATATTGTGCATTTGGCGTAGTGAGTTGGGTTTCTACCCGTAGACAAGGAAAGAGCTGACATTAAGAAAACATTCCAGTACTGCGGTAGTTGAATTCATAGATGGCTGCAGTGAAAGGTCAACGTACAAAAGGAGATGGGAACGTGCAAACACAAGCAGTTACTTACCAATCGGCCATAACGAGCAAATACTCACCTCGAGCAATAATTCTTGCCCCTCAGGTAGGGGTCAGGTATGGGTCAGGTATATTCAGACATTCTATCTGGCATTCCACAGCCTCCTGGGCTAGCGATATGGTATTCGGGTCCAGGCGTGACCCACTGCATCTGGAGCTAGGGGGGATGAAGACAACAAAGAGGCGGAGGAGGAGGAGGAGGAGGTGGAGAAGGAGAAGGACGAAGGAGTTGCACCTTTGAAGAAAATCTAGAGACCCTCACCCGGAGTGGGCAATAAACAATGTTCGCTGTTGTTTGTTGTATGCCAATGGATCTTTGGAGTACAGTACTGTGGGCGGCAACCTTGTGACACATATTTCTCGCAGTTCTCCATCTTTCACCATATTTCATATTTCCATATACTGAGGGCATCCCCAAAATGCATCAAAATGCCATGGTGCAAAACCTTATTTTCCCTTTTGAGATGCTAGTAGTTATTTCCGGGTATCACTATTTTTCAGACAAACCCATAAGTTTCAACCCTGGATTAATAAACCCCTAGGCTGTTCAATTGGGGGGTACCACTTATATAAGTACCATATTATGACTGGGAGAGTATACCCGGGTTTTTCCTGGTCATCTTCAATGGATGCCCGAGACGACCCGGCAGCTCCTCGACGTGAAGTCGGTTCAGGCCGCTTTTGGGTGTCTTGGCGACCTGGTCGGCTGAAACGAGGGCCAGTCGGGAAGACCTGGGGCGACTCTCTCTCACCCTGGTAAAAGCCAGTTACAATGGGATAATCCCACTTGTGGGACAACCTCACTAGGGTTACTACTTACGATTCGCGGGATGGTCCTCCAAGTTGAAAAAATCTGGAAACGATCAAACACGTCCCATTGCCATAACCTTCCACTCACCATATTGAGTTCACCTCAAGCAGGGAGGTTTTCACTGGGGGATACTGGGGGTATGCTAAACATGGTTGGAGATGGGTCACTTGAACTGGCTGATCAAGATACAGAAGTCTGCAGTCAGAATCGTAGAAATGTCACCTGTCAAATCAATGGTTTGATCTTAGCAACTGTAAGAATCCATGGCCCTGGAAGGGGAAAAAACCACAAACTTCTGTGAATGTCTGGCATCAAAACTACCGAGCCCCAGACCACCTGATGCTGCAAAAAAAATACAAAATGGCACACACCACTCCGATTCATCATGGAATGAGAGGAGCATTTTTCCACTGGATTGGTCCAAGGGAACATGTGCAGAAAACCGGTAGTTTTTGTTCATCAGATATGGTGGTTTCATGTCAAGTTTCCCTTCAATTCCGGATTTTCAAACACGTTAATCTGGGCTTCTTCAAAGACCCACCTGCAAACTCAAGTCAGAGATCAGCCGTGCCAACCAACCCATGGCAAGCGATCACAATTCAAGAGAGTTGCTAGGCATATTCATATAACGCTGAAGATTTTCTGCCAAGTATTGGAACAAACTTCAACAGTCAAGAATTGTCCGTTTCAGGTATTGAGTTCTGTCCACATGTCAAAAAGATGTAGTCAGCATCTGCAGAAACACACTTCATGAAACATCAACAAAGGTAGTTTGTTGCTTCGATTGACAAATCTGAATCCACTTCAAGCTGCACTGTTGATCCTGCGTTGCCTGGAACCTGAACTCCGGTAGCCAGATGTAGCCAGGCCAGCACTTTTGAGGAGTTGCTTGACTGCTTCACTGGAACAACTTTGAGTGCCTGGGCAAATTGCTATAACGGACTTTTGAAATCTTGTCAAGGGAAAGTAGGATTTGATAGGATTTGTACCACTTCCGGGCGGATAAAACAGATTAAAAAATTAAGTCCATTATCATCCATTCACTTCCCCTTTTTAAAAAGCCCGATGGCAACTCCATGTTTCGCAAATTTGAACACATCCTGCCACCTGGACTTGCACAAAGCATCGCGCATCGCACACATTTCATGCCGCTGTCAAATGCTCAATCGGCCAGATGCCCAAAGTCAGGGCCTTTGGTGGGCGTGAAATCTTTGAATCCCCACGAAATGGCTGTGTTAATGCTGAATGGCAGAAATGCACTGCCGTCATACAGTGAACATATCTGGCTGAAATAAGGCCGGGGATGACTCCCGAGAACTTGACCCCCGGCCAGGACTAATCCAAGCTTGCAATGCAAAATTTACTACATCTGCATTCATATACTATATGATATAATTTTAGTACAATAAAATTATAATATATATATATATTATAATAATCTAAAACATAATATGATACAATAAAAAAACATATATAGATTAATATAGTATATCTACTGCAAAACTAAATCCATCACCGCGTTGGCCCACGGGAGGCTTCCGGTAGAAGCCACATAAACCGTTCACAGACCTGGCCATGTGCCGGAAACCGCCTCAGAAAAGGGTGAAAAATGAAAAAAAATCAAGGTTAAAGAAGGTTAAAGCCATGAAATTTGACCCATTCTTGTTTGGTCTTGATAGATGCTGTTTTTGGGCATTTCAATGGCCATAACTTGGGGTATATCCCACTTTTTAAGAACAAAGCCATTTATATCCATTTATATTTTTATACATACCCCTATTCTAGGGTCGATGCAATATGAATTCACAGATATTCACAGAACAAATCACCAAGACCTGTTCAAACAGAGTCCTGATGCTGGGTGGCCGTGACTAGAAAATCGTTTTTTGGTGGGAGATTGGGGGAATTATGGGGAATGCCAATTCACGTGAATGTGCAATTCACGTGAATGTGCAATTCACATCATCCAACTTGACATGCAGCCCAACAACCCCAATAAATGTAAAGGATGCATTGACTGAGACAGGGGTCAATGCATTTTTATGGACAACCAAACCACAGCTGACAGCATATTAATTGCTGTGCAACAATTCAGTGCACTTGCGTGTCATCAGAATCCAGGGCACACGGCCGCTTACTTTTCTTTTGGGCTGGGCTTCTGTTTCAAATGTTTGAACAAGCTTCACTTGGATTCAACATCTATTCCAGGCCTGTGTCCAGAACATCTTCGCACGAGCCATCACATGTAACGTATCATGGGCATGGCGTACGGACATACCTGGAAATAAACCTCATTACATAGAATGGCTGACAAACATCTGCGGGCAAATATCTTTTACAGCATATAATGTCTAAATCAGTTATATCACATATCTATCAGAACACACACCATTTATAGATAGACAAGTATAAGTTACTAAATAGATACACATAGAGTGTAATTCACATCTTATGTGATACACGTGCCTTAAAGAACAGCGTCAGTCTTGACCATGAAGTTGCTCTGGACGGGTGCAACTTGTCGGCTCTGTCGCCTCTGTGAAATCATAGGTCGAAACCAGAGAAGCACAGGCCATTGCCATCCATTCCACAAACCTAACACAAATGGTTCCATCATTTGAATCATGTTCCATCACACATCTTCGATATCTTCAGACATTAGGATGCTACACATCAATGTATTTTCCATGCACAAGTGACGTAATACATGAAACGAACAAACATAAACAAACCAAAGTCTAGCCCAACATGGGTATCAGCCGGTGCATGGTGTTCGAAAAGAAAACGCACTTCCAAAGGGGTGAGTTGAATCAAAGATTCCACGAGACCATCGGAAGGCATACAAGTGCGGTTTTAAATCACTCGAAGGCTTGTGGCAAAAGGATGCAAGAGTCCTTTGCATATATGTATATATATATATACAAAGGCTATGGATGTTTGCACGAACAAACATCAAACAGTTCATGAATGTTTAGGACTTGTATCGAAAACATTCGAAAACCAATGTTTTTCTTCAAGGGTTCGACTCATTGTCATACCCTCAAGGGCTATCAATAAAGGTACCGGAAGGTGGCTGGGCTTCGCAGCCGCGAAATTGGCCTGCGCATGGGAAAATCTGCTCAGTGAACTCGCAGAATTCGAACCGTGGGATATGTTCAAAATTTGCGGACCCTCAAGATCCACCAGTTCATAGTCTGCTGATTGCTTTTGTTTCAAAACCAAGGAGTTTAGGTCCGCAAATTCGTGGACAACTTAGGTGCCCACTGGCCACGTATATGCGATTCAAGAGTCAATAAAAGTTCAGATCATTAAATAAACACGTACTTTGAAACTGTTATGCTGAATCAATCCATTCAGCGGTGCTTTGCTGTGTCTAAAGACAGACAAAGGCATTGGGTCATGGGCTTTCCATGGCTTTCCATCCACCGAGCAAAAGAAGCAATCGCTGGCACATGGCGAAAACACTGGTAGATTGCGGCAGTGCCGGGAAAATTCCGGCACACTATTACTATGACATGCTACTGTACAAAGTGAAGTGCCAAAAACACGAAAGTTGCTGAAACAGACAAAGGCACGCTGGGGATTGGGATGTGAGGGTGCTCTTGACAGACCTTGTCCTCCCCTTGAGGTTTCTTAAGTTCTTACGTTCTGTTGTTCAGCAAGTCGATGACCCAGGTTGACATCTCAAAATCGAAGCAACGAGAGAGCAGTTCAAACTTGTATTTATATTAATACCTGCCGAATGAAAGTTGAAATTCCGCTTGCTGGGTTTTTGGTTTAGCCCAAAACGCAGGTACGGTTCTCCAGGGATATCAGTGTCACATGCAAGCCTCTTCGTTGGGCTGATACTTGCATAACATAGACAACCAGCCGCCCTGCAATCTTGTTTGTTGTATCAGGTTGCACACGCACACGCACACATACACATAGTTGAGCGATTGAATAATGAAGAGAAGGATTGAATACACAACTGAATGAGTGAATAACGGTGCGACTGAATGACTCACCGATTGTCTGAGGCATCGATGCCAAGAGGTGAGTTAATTTCTGAGTGAGTGGATGGTTGAATCAATGAAGGATTCACGAAATGACTGATTGACCAACTGACTCAGCGACTGCCTGGCAAGCTGTTTGACCCTGACTGGGTAAACAGCTGAGTGCCTGAATTATTAACTACGTAATTGATTGATTGACTGACTGAATCAAAGGAAAAAAGTGAGTGACTGAATTCAATAAGTAAGTGAATGAATAAAACCTGAATTACTCATTTGAATTGTTGACATGTGAAAGATCAATGAATTGTTCGCTGACTTGGCTGCAGGGAGCAAGTAGCAGCTTCGGAAGGAAGTGGCTATTTAGTGGAGTTGTAAACCCAGTGAGCGAGGGGTGTATTGCGCTACTGAGCAAGTCATGGAACAGCTAGTAACTTGCTGATGAGACCCATTTCTTTTGCAAAGTGGTGGACTCTGCCCAAGTGGAAAATGCGTTAGCATACCCTCAAGGTTTCGGCCGTGTCAAATGGCGGTGGAGATGAGAAGGCAAAGAGAGCAACTGCGATCAGCTGCTGATGCTGTCATCTGATGCACTCAAAGATTTAAGCATTCGAGCTGGAGCAGGCATAAGCTGGCCATTCAGCAACAAACCTGGCAAATGAGATCGGTGACTAGTCCCTGAAATCCAGGATCTAGCACAACAACACTAAAAATCCGGGGAGATCTGTTACATCTGTTGCAGTGTAGGTAAGAACTGGCCAAATTCATTTAGATATACATTATGTATTAGATGTATTTAAATCACTATTATATATAAATATTAAAATAATAATTATGATTTATAATTATTATGTATTATCAAAATTGTTTTCTTTATCAATATATGGTATTAAATATTATTATATATTACATATATATATATGGTATTGTATTTTTATTATCATTAAATATCATTATATAGTTACAACAATAAATACATAAATATATATATATATAGAGTGTTAACCACTATCACATTATGATATATCATATCAAACTATCGTAAATAAAAATAGTTCATTATATAATTACCTATATAATATATTGTAGTATACTATATTAAATTATGTTATGTTGTATTATATGGGGATGGGTCAAAACCCTATCCCCCTGGTGAACATCAAAATAGCTGGTAAATGGATGTTCATCCCCCTAAAAATGGTATGTATAGGTATTGATCCATAGTCATATTAGATTAAAACACATAATAATATTTTGCAATCATTGTTATTGATGCTGTTGTCGTTGTCATTGTTGTTTTTTGTCGTTGTCGTTGTCGTTGCTGTTGTTGTTGTGGTTGTGGTTGTTGTGGTTGTGGTGGTTGTGGTTGTGCTTCTTCTCGTTGTTGTTGTTGTTGCTGAAGTTGCTGCTTCTTGTTGTTGTTGCTGGTGTTGGTGTTGTTGTTGTTGTTGTTGTTGTATTGATATTGATATTCATATTCATATTGATATTGATATTGACACCATTACAACATTACAATTATTACATGTTATTGCTATCACATACTATTAATATGTGTTCTTCTGTCTTCAATGTTACGATTATAATTCATGTTGTATTGATGCTTCAAAATCTTCAAAGTTTAATATGTGTTTGTATCCATCACCCCGGAACAAATCCGCCACATCCCAAATTTCGCAGGGGTAGAATGGTTCCTGCCCTTTGGCTCTCAATCGCAAGCAGTGGAGAATCCATGAAAAGCCCTATATAGTTGTATAGGTTATGTACCTATTGAGCATGGGGACTCCCCACTGCCGGGTCTACTACTAGAAGAGGGGAAAAATGGTGTTCATTGTGCAGAGACTTTGAACTCTACCAAGAGTGCTGGTTGGCAACCTGTGGGAAGCATAGCTAGCATCTCCAGTTGGAGGAAACATCAGCAACTGACCAGGTATTTGTCTGGAGGCCATACATTAATCAAGATGTAAGTTGGACATTGCTAAAGCCCAGCACTTTTTCTTGTGCCACTGCCTCTTCATATCCACATCTGCCTGGACAACCTTAAATAATTTCTACATTCAGAAACAACTGAAATCAGTTTTTGAAACTTTGACACAATGTTCCCTTTTTACAAAGCGCAGTTCCTTGGAGTTGGACAAGGCCGCCCCAGATCATCTGCAGTCCCAGTCCCAAAAACGGCACTGGACTCATTTATTTTGAGATGATAAAGATCAGCACATCACAACAAATCCGAGAATTCCTCTTTAAACAAGCCATTGTCATTCATTGTCATTCATGGACATCTGTTCAACAACCATTAAAAACCAACGTCAGACCCGATCTCAACCAAAGAAAAATGGTGGTTTCTTAAAATGGGTGATCCCCAAGTCACCATGGGTTTCAATACTAAAATGATCTAATAAAAGGATATAAAAGGATGATTCGGGGGTGCCCCATGACTCAGGACACCTCCAAATGTATGTTGTGTTTTCGACTAAGGCGCTGATGTGTTCAAATTGCTCCGTCTGCTGGTCCACCAACTGCAGGGCGCTGCGGCCCAGAGAGGTCTTTTGAGATGAATCTGCACCAGCCTTTTGAAGAAGCCTCAACATCCTCAATGGAGAAAAACATCGCCGGCCAAAACTCCTAAACCTTTGTCCCAAAATGGGGAATTTGGTTGATGAACCAGTGGAATTACATAAAAGGTCCTATTGACAAAAAACATTACAACTGTTTTTTTTTCAAAAGCGAATCATGCATCATTCGATATGAATGGAGGACTGTTGTGACACCTGGTGACAACTAAATGGTCTTGCTCTGGTTGTTTGAATTGGGAAATATGGGAGAATGATATAATGTGGTTAAAAGAATGCCATAAACCATCCCCCAGTCATCACGATTTTTATAGGTGGTATAAGCCATTCCCAAATGGGTGGTTGACTACTATTGTTTTAACCACATTATGTTGGAAGCAAAAGAATAATTTACCGCTCACCTGGAGATCTCTCGATACTGCTGATCAGCCCTTGGATATCTTCTGGATTCATAGAGTAATGTAATTATGTAATTCTAATTTGCAGTACCTACAGAAGTCGGCCAGTTTGTTTCCAAACATTTAATGCATCCATATGTATATATAAATATATGTATATATATATATATGTATATATATATGTATACTCACTATACTTCTATTCTAGCACCTTTTTAGTTGGTTAAATCCATGTTAAATATGGTTTTCACATCCCCCATGATTGATGCGGCTGATTCCATGGTCCAATGGTTTCCCAACTTTCGAAAGGCCAGGCGTCTCGTAGTCGCCAAGCCTGGCAGCCATGTGAATCGGGTAGAGTTCCTCCTTCCGTCGCGGAAGAATGCAGAACGTCACGTGGAACTGCTGCGGCTCATTCCTAAGGACATGACAGGGATGCAGAAAAAATATCTATGGTAGTGTGATGAGAAAGTATAATGAATAATGAAGTATATAATGTGTATATGTATATATACATATTACATAATAATATACAGTAATTATAAAACATAAGATTATAATTAGTAAATCATCGCGTTCTACAGGGTTCTAGCTAGCAAAATCGAAAGATACAAGCAGTTCCAACATCTTTGGACCATTTCGATTCAATACCATATGAATTAATCCCATGTTATGCAATCCCATCCCGTTCAAATTAAACAGACCATTCTATGGATACCCTATTAAACCATCATGGTGACTCTGGAGGCTGTTGGCTTTTCTAAGGGGGATGGGACCATGAACTAACTTCCGCTTGGCTTCACATCTGGGAAACGATGCTTTTTCAAGAACTCTCGCAGCTTCCGTGTCTGTTCACGCCGACGTCGTTCTCGCTTTCCATACCCCTTGGTGGATAACCCGCTAGTGGTCGAGGCTGAGCTGGAATGACGCGGTCATACGTGCTAGGGTCAAGTTACATAGGATGAATGGGCTATGGTCGTCCCACAATCATTCCCATAATGATATTGTATATTCACGCCCTATTAATGGGATGATTATCATGACCTTATCCTTTTTTGATTGTTTGAGAAAGTACACCATGGTTTGACAATAACGCATATCTACCATGCATCCATATAAAGAATCGGAAAGGGTGACGAAACTGGAGACCCCCGAGCAGTCCCCGCTGATCCCCAAGGCGAGTTTGATCAATAAAATATACTGGATATAATTATTTGGATTTTACTCACACTCACCACAAAATTACGGGTTTCTCACAGACATTAAATAGTGGATATGTTGATGTATCCCGCCCCAGTTCGGGACTGTTTCGAGCAAGTCACACGGAAATTCCCCAGTGCATCGTCCAACCTGGGGACCAAAAGGCTATCTGCCACTGGAGCCGCAGGAGGATGCGCTGGTGCCAAAGGATGGAACCGATCTTCCAAAGACATGGCTGCGGCCTGAGCCAAAAAGGCTGGCCTCGGAGTGAAAACTTCGGAATCAGCGGAATCAGCGAGCGGAACAGCACATTAGGTCTGAAAATGGACCATCGAACTTGGAGCTCTATTTTCAGACAACTCCAGTTGTGTCTTTTCAACGATCATTTCGTCATTTTGTCATTTCCAGGACGTACTCTCCTATTGAGGGGTATCTTTTTCGGTAAGAATCTATATAAGATTGAATCATCGATATCGTTGCATCCATACATATCATTGCATCATATTGCATCCATATTCGTTTGCAATGTGGAAACCAAATAATAGAACCTCCGCGTTTGGAGGATTTTATTATATTTAGTTATAATTTATATGCCACGCAACCCATTTGTGGTCAAACTGGGATTGGTGTACCTCATTTGACCCATTTTATCATTGAATAAAGCACTTCCATCACACCGTCATGACACAGGGCTGACCTGAAAAGCTGCCAAGTTACAATATTGGTAAAGACCGGCAAACGAAGCGCTGAGCTAGTTGATTCTATATACATAGTGTTCATATGTGTTCGTTTGCTTTGTTTGGAACGTTTAAAGGATCATCAAAACTCCCTTCTGGTAATCAAACATGGTTTGCTGAATTTTTCCCATTTAGTTCGATGTGTTTCCTCTATATTTTAAGGCCGATTGATGGGGAATTTCACTCAACTTCACTCTGGTTCATCTCCCAAATCCCATTTTCACCTTAGAAACAAAGCAACAACTTGTCTCAAGACATGCTAAAACTATCTCAAAACATGGCAAATCCAAGATACACATATTGCCCTCAAGTAAATTCATATATAGACCCTGAACATAGCTCATTGTTAGTGGACAGTGCAGTGGACAGTAATCTTCAAGCCATCTATTTGGCAGGGTCTATGTTAGTTGGGGGGGTTGGTAATGGTGATAGCCGGTCTCCAAAAACTCTACAGCTCAATGCTACGGCTAAGACGACATTTTGCAAAATATCGTAGTTCAAACCTCAACTGTGCTCAATCTGTATTCTTCGAGCCGTAAAGCAACCTGCAGGGATGGTTGGTCAATGTATGTCAATGTTGGTTTCGTGTCTATGTCCCCGAGATTCCTGCAGGCAATCTGTGAAACCGGATCGCCAAGGGAATCCCTTGCCTCTCCGTGGGTATAAAGTTACATATATTATAAATATATATATATATTATATATATATTATTTATATATCCCACATTCAACACGCATGTCAATATGTATCAACTTCATCCAACTTCTTACCGACTTCACCCACCAGCGCCCGTTGTGAGATGCCATCCCCGAGCCTACTGGTTGCGTCATCCCGTCCCCACAAAAACCGGCAACGTAACCATCAACCCCTTCTCACATAGGTTGCGCCGGCGCCTCTTCAAACATGCCTTTTCTGCTTTTTGATGTAAGGGGCACAATCCCAGTTCAGAATGGAGTGAACCATCATATACTCAGGCTGAATACCGGTCTAAATGCTCGTTTTGCAAATGCATACCTGATTTGCGCTTGGCTTAGTTTGTCTGGGAGACAGTTTGGAAAGCATACCATAGATGAAGTCTGAAGATGCATAGGGGCTACAATGAGAACAGAGGCTGGAGCATACTGGGAGAAAGGCCCATTACAGCATGCATGAGTGAGACATTGGACAAACTGGTCATGCACAGCAGCACTGAATTCGCTGCACAGCTGAATGCTATCCTTCTGCATGGCCAGCCATGGGAAAACATCACGCAATGGACGTCTGGGCTGGGGCATGCTTAGCTCAGGGCTCTGCAGTCTTGGGGCCCAATTCTGATGAATTCGGATAACAGCATGCTGGAAGAATGGAAGGATGGAATGTACTGGGACCCATAAAAGAACCACTTTCCCTGATTTTGCTATGACTACTTACCATGTATACTACACCCCTTGGCCTCTGCCTCAAAACGCGTCCAAATGTCCAGCTTCCGCACATGACACAGAAATCAATTTTCAACTGCTGGAGTTTCCTTCGAAGTTTCACCTGGACCAGCTTGCAGTCATGGCATGGTCACAAAGACAAATCAAAGCATTGTTGTGATCCATGTCATGTATACATATATATATAGATACACATAGATATATGATACATAATATATAATAATAAATAATATATAGTAATATATAATAAAAAAATAATAAATAATATATAATAAAATAATATATATATAATATAATATAGACTAAATAACGTATAATATACAATACATAACAAATATAATATAAGATATATATAAAAAAAAACATAATATATATATTATAATGTATTAAGTTCAATTATATTACATTATTTTATATTATAAAATATTAAATTATGCTATATTAAAATACATTATCTCTTGATATAGTATATTAAATATCTTACATATCTTTGATATATATATATATATATATTATATAATTTTAAAACATATATATTATATTGTATATTAATTGAAAAATAAAATGAAATTTTATATATTAAAAAAAATAAAATTAAATGTTATATATATATATTAAATAAAATGTTATATATTGAAATAATATATATTAAAAAAAAATATCTATTATATATATATATTAAATATAGTATATATATATAATATATTCTATATTAAATATATTATGTAATTTTAAATATTATATGTATATATAATAAATGAAATATATTATAAAAAATATATTATATATGTTATATTATATATATTATTTATATTATATATATACATTATTATTATATATATATTATTAATTTATTATATATATTATATATTGAATATTATATATATTATATATTATATATATTAAATATATTATTTAAATTATATATTTTATATATGAAATATCAAAATAAATATATTATATATTATATATATTAAATATTACATATATTATAAATATCACATTTAATATTAAATTATATGCTATTATATTATACAATATCATATATATTAAAAAATATTATCTTATCTATACTCTTATATTGTATAATAGTTTAAATTATACTATATTATATCAAATCATTATTATTATTATTAACTATAATATATTATTTTTTAAATTATATTATATATATTAAGTTAAATATAGTATATTAAATTTTAAATATTTTATTTCATATATTATTTATAACATATTATATTCAATAATATTATATTATATTATACTATGTTATATTATATTAGATTATATTCTATTCTATTATATTATATAATATTTTATTATATTATATTACAAATTTATATATATATATATATATTTGCTAAATGCAAGCGATGCTACCGTCGTTGAAACAATTTGCAGGTTGCTGATTTGATTGACAAAACAACGACCAACCAATCCACTCAATGGCACCAGAAGCAGCAACTATATATATATATATTTTATACTTGTATATAGGTAAGTCAAACGTTGGTACCCAACACAAGGGATGTTTTTCATACCGTTAAACTGGCAAGGTCAGCTGTCGTCCCAGGATTTTACGACAATGGCTTTGGCCCAAAATAACACCCTGTTGTCCCCCCAAACAAAAAAACAGTGCGGTCTTTCCCACTGTTGGATTACCCTAAAATCTCCATGTTTGATGATTCCAATCGCTGTATACCCTCCGGTTAAATGATCCCAGCTCAAACCCTCCATCAACTTTTACCATTATTAGCCTCTGGTGAACTAACATAACTATGGAAAATCAGCACTTTTAGTAGGTAAATCAACTATAAATTAGCAATTTCCAATAGCCATTTTAGTTTACCGGAGGGTAACCATCATTACATTAGCTTGGATGTTTTCTGCCCGGAGTTCTCAGGGCCTTCTGCTTCCTGCTTTGCCTTCTCTTGAGCATTCCTGGCCAAGTCGCTGATTTTTGACCCACGGAACACGAGACCATACATATATATATATATACATATACATATATATATATGCACACATATTTATATATACATATATATTTATATATACATATATATGTATAAATATATATATATATACACGTATATATACATATATATATATATGTATATATATATATATATATATACATAACATATATATATATACATATACATATACATATACATCCCGGCGGGTGGGAAACCGCGCTAGCGGTTAAGCACTTTTTGAAAACAAACTCTGCTGGCGCTGTGGCGCCATGCACATTTTATGAAAAACATTACCTTAAATTTTCCCGGGGAAAATTCGATGAGTTTGAAGGAATGTCGTGGTATTTACAGGGTTTTGTGCTGCTGGCGGGGTGGTCGCTGTTTCCCTGTTCTTTGGGCGTCTTACTTCTCCAATGGTTTGCTCAGAGCGTGGCCGGTGAGACTGAGAAAGTATGTGCAATTTCCATGGTGCCATCGCCATTGCCAAATCCCAATTCCTTGAAGCAACTGAGGGTTCACAGCACCATCTTTTACGTGTGCTCCAAGAGGTTGGCACTGCACCATTGGACAATTTCCACATACCGTCGATGCTACCGGTGTGCAGAAGCAATGTACATCTCAACGTATTGTGAATCTGAGACACGTAATATTCACATCTAAGGGTTGTAACCGCATGTGACAAAGAAAGTAAAATCATATATATATAATACATATTTATTCGCATGTTTCAAAAAGGGTAAAAGCAACCCCACCCAAATCCCAACCAATGACGTAGCAGCAGCGTAGCATCACGTGTGTGAGCAAGTCACATGAACGTTATTACCCAACCCCACCCAAACCCCAACCAATGACGTAGCAGCAGCGTGTGCACGCAAGGCACATCAACGCTAATATCCCACCCCACCACACACAACCCCTAACCACTGACGTAGCAGCAGCGAAGCATCCACGTGTGTACGCAAGGCACATGAACCTTAATATCCCACCCCACCCCACCCAACCCCTAACCACTGACGTAGCAGCGAAGCATCCACGTGTGTACGCAAGGCACATGAACGTTGATATCCCACCCCACCCCACCCAACCCCCATATTGAAAAAGTAGCACGACTACACGCGCGGTTTTCCACCCGCTAGCATATACATGTACATAAATCTATATACATATTGATTTTTTACATATGCATATATACACATTTAAATCAATATATATATATAAATATATATGTACATATATACACTACATATGTATACATAATATATATATATATATTTACATTAATCATATAAATATACATGTAATACATATATTAACACATATATATATATATATACGCATATATATATACATACAAATATATATGTGCATATGTACATATGTAAATATATATATATATATATATGTATATGTACACATATATATATGTATATATATACATGTAAATAAATAAATGTATGTGTATATATATATATGTATGTATATATATATATGTATATGCAAATATATTTGTATATGTATATATGTATATATGTATATATGTATATATGTATATATGTAAATGTATATATGTATGTATGTAAATATGTATCTATGTATAAATGTATATGTATATATATATATATATATGAATATGTACATGTATGTATATATAATTGTATATAATTGTATATAATTGTATATCATTGTATAACATTGTATATGTATACATATATATATATGTATATATGTATAAATGTAAATATGTATACATGTATATATGTATAATTATATGTATATGATTGTATATGATTGTATTTGATTGTATATGATTGTATATTATTGTATATTATTGTATATGATTGTATATGATTGTATATGATCGCATATGATTGTATATGATTGTATATGATTGTATATTATTGTACATGATTGTATATGATTGTATATGTATATGTATTTTTAGATACATTCTTAGACATATAGTTCATGGATCACACAATACATACACAAATATGTACTTTATTATTGGCATATACACAATGTTAATCAATATTCTATATCCAAGTATCCCCTTTCCTGTCGGAGGATTTGGAGCAGTCACCAAAAAAAACGAGATAGGACATATAGCAGCGTACTTCCAAAACTACGAATATATTGAATCTCCTTGCTGAAGTAGAACCACTGACCATCACAAGAACTGCTGGATTATTCAATCTTCCACAAACCAAAACCTTCGTACCTTCGTCTTCCATGACTTTTTAATGACTTGCATCTCCCCAGGCTCAATGGCGCCCCAAGCAGGTTAGGGCCACGTCATGGCTTCCACAAACCACTGCGGAGGGCCCTGCTGCTTCAGTTTTTCAAAGGCATCGTCCATGGGCGAATTCATCTCAGCCTGAGGTGGACGAGGCGACGATCAGTGGTTGAACCATCCATCCCTTGCTAGGCTAGTGGGAACATCAACAAAAAAACATAGGGAAATATACGAATGGCGGGCAAAATAACTTGTTCATTTTGATGCCCGCCCCATTGGGGTCGTCCCCTATCAGCAGTTTTTGGATTCTGCGTTTGACTGTGAGGAGACTTATGCAAAACAAAGGTATCGGTATAGGGTGGTCCCCCATCGGTAATGAAGTCTGCATACCCCTCATCAAGGCCGAGGCGAAGCAAGTCCAAAGTAGTACAATAATTTTGGGGTGAAATAACATGAAATAACACAATATGTAACATCACCAACCAGAGGTATGATACAATCATGGTTCTTGAGAGCAATTTCAAACCCCAATATTTATGCATGGATATCCAGGGAGTTTCTGGAAGGATTCACCAACCATCTAGCCTGCATTTGCTCCATATCGAGACCGCCTTCATCAATGTACTGACAGGCCTGGCTGATGGAAAGTAGAGAGAGAGAGAGAGCCAACATTTTCAAGTTTAGGGAGGTAATGACATACTGAAGATTGAATACATAGAAAATAGTCCCACTGATCACTTATTCTATCAGAGTCGATCAGAGGACTCTAGTCTGTGATCCTGGGATCAGAACACCAATGGGAACGACCCAGAGAAACCAGAATATCAAACCATGTTCTGTTTGTTTCTCTCTGTATCTTTATCTAGTGACATGTATCAAAATGTAATATATAAAATACAGCACAATCACCTGAAATCTTCTTCTCGGACTCCACGGCAAAGCAATGTTAAGAATAACAAGTTGCTTTACTCCAGTAAAATAAACTGCTTGGTTTCACCCCGTGACAAACATATTGTTCAATTGGATTTCCCTCCAGTAAACTAACATGGGTATGGAACATCCTCATTCTTAACAGGTACGTTAAATCATCCATCAATGGGCAATTTTCGTATGTATATATATATATAAAAATATGTATATGTATATATACATACCATTCTGTACATATACATGTATATATATATATGTTAGTTTACTGGAGGGTATATAATCATTGTCTTAGTCTGCATATGTCGGAAGCCATCAACCAGTTTTGTTTGGCTGAGATCTAGTTTTCCCGCATTTTCTGGTCGATCTGATAAACTGCATGTTCTTTATGAATCATTGGAATCTAACCAAGCTTCCAAAAAGTGATTCATATGGATCCCCTACCTTTGCTGGTGATATATTGTGAATAGTAAAAACCTACAAAATCCGAATGACAGAAATCTGGTTAACCCCCTACATTGTGTTTGATAAATATGTTGCATGCCGCAGCTGCAACACTACCAAGCATCATATACCATCCGTATAGTTAATAACAAGCTTTCAGGAGGTGTGCAAGGGACCTCTTTCCGTGACCACTGGCGCTCCTTCATCAGCCGCACCACTTGAGCCTGCACCGTTGCGGAAGAATCAACGATGCTGACTATCAAGCACCAACCTGGTATGTATGGCATAACAATACCGTTTTGAATATCAAAACATATCAAAACTAATGAGTCACCATGAAAAATCAGCAAACGCTAGGAATTGTGGTTTAATTTACCCTCAAAATCCCGAAAATGGTATGCACTCTTGACAATCTAGCTGGGACGGAGGGCCACAACCTGAAGGGGAAGGGGTCCCAAACCTCCCCCTTCGAACATGCTGGCTAAATGCATCTCTTTCAAGGACGTCCCGAGATCTATTTGAACGCATGGATCACAGTAGTTACATGTAGTTACCCTCCAAGAAACATACAGAAAAAGGAACGTATCATATTCATATTCATAATATCCATTACTTGAATTCATTTGAAGCATTTGGATCGCATGTTCTCGGAAAACCCATGGTTTTCCGTAGCGTTAATTTACTGAAGGGTAGATCCGTTACAATTGGTGGTTGCGCTGAATGATGCTGCCCCGGTGTAACTGGGATCCCAGGAAGGATATTCCACACTCTAAACTCTAAACAAATTCTAACACAATCAATGCCGAACACAATAGTCATTGTTTGGAGGCCTTGGAGGCCTTGAATCTTTTGACATTTGAGCCATAGTCACTCATGGAGGTTTGTTTGGTCCTGAAATGTCTTGTGTAGTAGTTCATGTTGTTGTTGACTTGGTAAACATGTGTAGACACGGCAATGATAAATCCTCGCATGTTGAGTCACGCTGAGATCATTTACCTCCAAAGGGTCACAACAATTTCAATCGAAAAGGTTTAAATCAACCTGAAAGTGACTGAGTCTCGCTAGATAGTAGCTGATCATCAACTGGGTTCATCCAATCAATTGGCAGGTCAAATGATTCCTACTCAGTGACTGGACAGTGATGCTGACCATAATTCTCGACCTGGAGTTCACTATCCGGTCATTGGGTTCTCAAACCACGGTTCTGAAGCAGTTCTGAAGTATAATATTTATATTATAATCCCTTCCCCCTATTACTAAACGTCTCCCAAATAATCAAAACTAGGGTCCATCTCCAATTTTGGAAAATTTATGACAATTTCATATTTGCCAATTTGACTTTTAACTGATCCCCTTTAGAAAACAATTTAAAAATAAAGCTACCGTTTGTGGGTTTCGCCCCCTAATAATAAAAACTAATCAGGCCTGGGGTGTTTATTATTAGGGTCCGTCCGATTTTTTTAGTTTTTTATATTAGGGCTTTTAATTTATCATTAGGGCCCGCTTCGAAATCCAATTTTTGGCAATATGTTAATTGCGTGATATATGCAAGTTTAATTGATTTTGAAATCGAAGGGTTTAAATTTATCAATAGGGTCCGCTTCGAAATCCAATTTTTGGCAATATTTTAATTGCGTTATATATATATATAAGCAAATTTTGTTGATTTTGAAATCGAAACAAATAGTTGTTTATTAAGGGTCTAAATTTATTAATTATTAGGGTTCCCTAATAATAAATTAAATATTCCCCTAATAATAAAAACTATACCTGAGGTGTTTATTATTTGGGGAGGGGGGGGCGTTTAGTATTATGAGGAAAGGATTATTTTCATTCAGGACCATATATCTACATTACATACCTGCATTGGGCTGAAAGTTTTGTAACCATATAAGTGTATGTATACAATACCTGGATGACAAGTGATTGACATCCCCTTCTTGGTTGCGTAAAAAACCAGCGAGTTGCCCCTTCCACGGGCTGGCCATGGCTGGTTTTTCAACTTGACCCAGGGGCCTCCAAGTCATCCACGGTGGGACTCGCTTTGGACTCCGGTGGCGTTTTTTTTTCAGGGAGCAGGTCGTACCTGAGTCACCGTTGGAAGAAGTTGTGAGATGGGATCAGTTGGGATATCAAGGTGGTAACTGGTATCTGCGGGATCATCAGCAGTCAGCAATCCATCTGCCACCTAGATTTATTTGTTTGCTCATCACCCAAGTATCGAACAGGTTTGGTGACCTACCCCATGTTTGCCGTTTTCGGGAACCATGGATCCGATCTTCCCATTGCTGATCTATTGTAGAGCCAGCAAATAATAGCATGTTTGAGCCGGTAAGACTATGTAGGCCATGAATGGCAACAGATGGGCATGGGTAAAATTTGAACCCAAAGTGGAAAGGTTTTCTACTCAAACCGGAACAAAATCTGTGGCCCCCCATAGGTCTAAAATTTGGTTCAATACTTTGGATGTTTATTGGCTAATCCCATTTCCCCGTACATAGACACACATTCGCATGTGTATGTTTAAATTATCCGGAGGTAGAGGGAATATGACAATTTCACAACACTCCCCGTTTTTCTCAGGATTCGTTTCCCCATTCTATCTACTCCAGGATGTTTTTCCGTATATATATATATATATACACATATATATTCCATATTCTTATAAAATGATGCGTATATATATATATATACATACATGGCAACCCCAAAAAATGGAACAGTAAAATCCTACGGTCCTACTTAGTTACCTATAGATAGTGGCAAATTATGTGTGTACTTTTGTGGGGTACCCAGTGCCTAGGTACTCTCCAGCTGACCACCAAGCAAGGACCTGGCTGCGATCAGCTCTTGGGGACTGGAACTGGGAAACAAAAAACACACACATGATATGGGATTATGGGATTTATATGGGATTATGGGATTTATATTATTTCTGTGGGATTTATGTGGGATGTTTCCTCTGGTAATTTAACATAGCCATGGGACATTGCCATTTTAAATAGGTAAATCATCGAACTAAAAGGGCCGTGGCTTCCGCAGTTCAAATTGCTGGAGAGTAATTGTCAAACATGGGGATATAGTGGAATATACCACCCCAAATGTAGCCACTTTAATTGGGAAACATTGGTCTATCATCCCTTTGGCCCCGTATAGTTTCATGGCCTGCAAACAAAAGGAGTCTCCCGGCGGCAAAACCAAATTCAAAATCCAATCGGTGAAATATGTTAAGGTATCTTAAATTTACCATGTTTGATGGGTTTTTCTCAGTGAAATCTCCCGTGATGACAGGCCATAGATCGCAACTTCAACATCAACGGCTTCGATTATTGTGCCTGACGTTGCAAAGGTGCAGCTATCAGGCCACTCGCCACGCCCTGCGATGCAGGCCAAGTTTTCATCGGAATATATGTTTCTATAATATACTCATGAAGAATCACTATAACCAGTCTATGCACATCTATGCACAGAACCTATGAACCTATGAACCTACAAGGTCTTCTGTGAAACCATAGATGTAGTATAATTATATATATATACATATACTTGAAGTTTCAAGTACCTATATTATGACCAAACTCTGGTTCTGAGTATCCAAATCTAGTTCTCAGGAGCCTCCCTTAGTGGGTGTTTTTTTTTTCCCGGCAAGACAAGTTAAATCGCTTAAATTGCCAAAGGGTAAAACCTGCATTGTTCAATACCAACCATTCCAGGAGAATAGATGACCAAAAGGATCCAACGACTTTGGGTTTCAGTCCAACTGTCGCGTGGACTTACAACATGAAACCATATGTTCATAATCCTCAATCCCAGAAAAAATGGGAGAAATGTAACCGACAAATTTTCATGAACATTCAGGGTTTCCAAATTTGATCCAAAGAGGTACACAATTCCAAACTAAGTCAGAAATGGTGGAAATAACAAAACCAGTTGTGCAATGGGAAACAAAAAACTATACGGTAACTACATAATTTAAATATACGGATTTTTAAATACACAAACTGGTAGTTTAGATTACCTCCGGGAAGGTTTTCCTTGGCCCGCCTGGCCATTTAAACATACGCAATCCAATTTGTTTAAACATATATACATTAAAATATACGGATGGAACTGTTTCATACTATTTCCAGGGCCTTGTGGTCTGGCCCGCCCTGCACAAATTTAACTTCATTGCCATACAAGTACCAGTGAGGAATTTCTCTTCGGTACCACTGATGCTTGTCTTTCTTCGTTTTTCATCCTCCGGGCACCTAAGAAACCAGTGATTGGAAGAGGTATCCACATGGGCGTGGGTCAAGTCCATGGGTACCAATAAGTAGGCGGGATGGTTTGACATCCTAGAGACCCAAATCTATAATCATTGGTGGGTACCATTTCGAATTTTGACCCGAATCCGGTTCTTGATTGGCCTTTTACTCCCAAAATTGAACCCGGAGTCAATGTTTCTCTTGATGACATTAGAATATGTTCGAAGGAAGTTTAGAAGTCAAACTTCCAACAGTATGAACAAATGTAAAAGCAGAGGTGGGAAGAGTCAGAGAGGAGAAGAGCAGAAGAGAGAAGATCAGAGAAGAGAAAGAGTGAGAAGAAAGAAGATGCAGGTGCGCGAAAAGGTAGGAAAATCGCGAAACATTGTGTTTTTTCCGCTGATTTGTGGCTCCAGAGGGTCGAAAAGTAGGCTCGCTAAAGGGGCGGGTGCGGGGCCAGCTGGCCAGATGGGAGATGAAAAGTTGCACGAAGTTGTGGCGCGAAGCACATTTCCAAGTCAAAATGCGCAAAACACACCATGCTCGGAGCACTTTTGGAAATTGAAATGTCGAAAAAATGCATGTTGTGGCGCGAAGCGCGTTTCCAAGTCAAAATGTAAAAAGTAGAGTTGAGATGTTGAAAAAGTACGCGCCGTTGTGGCGCTGACGGTCTCGGACCACTTTTGGACGTTCAGAGGTCGTCTCGTGTGGCAGGTGCAAGGGATTCTGTACATTGTCAAAAATGAGAAAAAGTGAAGGTTTTTGTGGCATTTCCAAAAACGATGGCAGGCGTGGGACATTCGAAGAGGATCTGGAAAGATGCATTTTGCGTGGCAGGCGCAGTACAAGAGACATGCTCATCAGAGATATACTGTAAGGAGGTCTGGCACCGATTTCCTGAGAGAGGTTGCATTTTGGAGCATCAGATCTTCAGGTTTGCTGAGATGATTTTGGATTTC